CTATGATTCTATGATCTTCCTTGTCTTCTGCCTCTGACCCAGTGGTTTCCTATCTTCCTTATTCTGAATGGCCTTCTCCAGTTGTTCCAAATCTCCTCCAGGTTCATATACATATGTATATCTCTCTCTATATATATCTATAAGGTTCTATATATCAAAATAGAGAAATTTTTTTCAGATAAAGTTCTTCACAATTACTGTAACATCACCTTAAAAAATTCTAGCAGCTTCTGTTGGTGGCTTTAATGGTTCCTTCTGAATCATATTCCAGTGATCAGCCTGGATGAAAATATGTAATTGTCTAGTCAGTTATCAGAGAAGCTTTTTATTATTGGTTTATAAAATTAAGTTCTCCACAGTCTCAAATCAATACTGTTGTACTAAGGCAACAATGTCTGTAATTTGACCTCTTACAGAGATGGATTATGGATTGAACCTCAAAAAGGTGGTTCTCAAAAAAAGAAGCATAGCAGAGATGAAAAAGCAGACAAATATCTATTGAGAACTATAAGGGCATTTTCAGGGCATGCAGAGATGCAGTTAGAAAAGCAAAAGCTCAGCTTGAATTCAAATTGGCCAGAGGTGGCAAAAACTAGAGGAAAGGGCTCTTTGGGTATGTAAACAACAAGCAGAAACAGAAGGAAAATACTGTCCCACTGTTAAAGAGGAAAAGTGAACTAACTTTCTTCACCTCTATCTTTAGCAGCACTATTAGGCCTCAGGCCTTGAAAACAAAAACTGTGAAGGAAGAGTTGATATATGAATTATTACAGGAGCTTGATCTCTACAGGTCCATGAGTCCAGATGTTATCTGCCCAAAGGTGTTAGGAGAGCTGACTGATGTCGTTGTGAGGCCACACTCCATAATTTGTAAGAAGTCACGGAGGTCAGGGGACATCCCAGAAGACTGCAAGAAGGCTAATGTCACGCTAATCTACAAGAAGGCTTAAAGGAGGATCCTGGAAATTTAGGCCTGCCAGTCTTTAGTCCTTGGGGAAGTTATAGAATAAATTCTTTGGGGGCTATCACAAGTCAAATGAAGCATGTGATTGGGAAAAAATAACATGGATTCATCACGGGCAAATCATGCTTAAGAAACCTGATCTCCTTCTGCGACAAAGTAACCTGCTTGGTTGATGTGGGGCAAGTGGTGGACATTGTCTTCTTGGTTTTCTCCAAGACTTTGACCATGGTTCCCCACAAACTCATCATAGAGAGGCAGATGCATTATGGTCTAGACAAGTGGTCTGTGCAGTGAATGAGGAACTGTATGACAGGCCACAGTCGGGGGGGGGGGGGGGGCGGGGGGTGGTAAACAGCTTGTTTTCAAACTGGCAGCCTGTCACAAGTGGGGTCCCCAGGGATAAATACTGGGCCCAACACTGTTTAGTATCTTCATAAGTGATCTGGGTGATGGGATCAAGTGTACCCTGATGAATTTTACTGATGATATCAAACTGAGTGGGGAACTGGACACTTCAGAAGGGAAAACCACCCTGCAGGAAGACCTGATAGGCTGAAAGAGTATGCTAACAAGAACCTGATGAAGTCCAACAAGGACAAGTGTAAGGTCTTGCACCCAGGAAAACATAATTCAGAAGTGCAAGCACAGGCCCTGGCTGAGGAGCAGCTCTATGGAAATGGACCTGGGGTCCTGGTGGTTGACAAGCTCAGTATGAGTGAACAGTGTGATGCAGCAGCAAAGAAAGACAACAGGATACTGGATTGCATCAACAAGGGCATCACCAGCAGAGGTAAAGAAGTCATTATCCTACTCTTCTCAGTGCTTGTCAAGCCACATCTAGAATACTGTGTTCAGTTTTGGTTCCCACTATACAGAAGAGATGGTGGAAGATGTCCAGAGAAAGGCCATAAAGATGATCAAAGGACTAGGAAGCTGCCATGTGAGGTCAGACTGAAAGAACAGTGTTTATTCAGCCTTGAGAAAAGAAGCCTTGGGGGACACCTCATCACCATGTTCCAGTATTTAAAGGGTAGCTACAAAGAAGATGGAAACTCCCTTTTTACAAGGAGTCACACGAAAAAGAAGAGGGGTCATAGGTACAAGTTACTCCTGGGGAGATTCTGATCGGACACAAGAGGAAAATGTTTCACAATAAGAACAACCAGCCATTGGAATAATCTCTTCAGGGAAATGGTGAATTCTCCAACACTGGACACTTTTAAGGTTCGGCTGGACAGGGTGCTGGACTATCTTGTCCAGACTGTACTTTTGCCAAGAAAGGTTGGATCAGATGATCCTCGAGGTCCCTTCCAACATGATATTCTATGATTCTATGACATTGATCACAGATGGACACTCCAAGAAGGAACGTCAGACAAAAATGAATTACTGAAAAGGTTCTGCAGCTTGTTCATTCCAGAAGTTCAAACCTTTCACTTTGGCACCTTTGAGTAGAAGTGTTTTAATCAAACGATGGAGTGCACCAACTCTTTGCTGTATCACATTCAGTTGCTGTTGGTCAGCTGCTTGGTACTGACTCCTCAGCAGAGGTGTCATCACTTGTAGACTATTTAAAAGGAAAAACATCCAGGTTTGCTAGACTGCAGTATCTGGAATTTAAATTACTTAGGAACCCTCAAAAAGTGAGTTATCACATCTCTGCCTGCTTTGAGCCTCCTAATGTCTGTTCCAACCTAAATTATTCTATGATCCCACAGGTGTAGCATCTGAAAAATTTAGCTGAGTACCGAGTCTGTTTCCCCAGCTGTATGGGTCACTTCACAGCTCAGTGAAGGACGTTGAGCATGTTTCAAGCCAGAATCCATCCCATAATATATTCATTTTTTTAATATTCCTGTGAACACAGCTTTTCTCACTTCCTTTGCATGTGCACCCCATGGAGCAGAACAGGGTGTCCTTCACTGCATCTGGCAGAATTTCACCTGTCTTTGAAGGTATGAGTTGACCATAGCACTTCCACTCTGCTAAATACCACAAATAATCCTTTGTGCCTGCCTGTTGGCAGCCAGACGTACAAGTGGATATAACCAATTAGTAGAGAACTTAGTCCTGGCTGAGGATTGGACATGCTGTATATGTATACTACACATGACTGCAGCTAGATTTCAACCGCTGGACCCTTGGCATCATAAGGAAGAAGCAACATCTGCTGAGCCAGATAGCAGCTCCCCACTCACCAAACTAGATGCTGTGCCAAGTCTGCTTCATGTGGAGCTAAATATTCCTAGTACTCTCATACAGGTTAGTTCAGCAGAGGGAGCACATTCAATAGTAATGTTTTTCTAGTCTTATGCATTTTATTTCTTTAACGTTCTTATTTATGGTTTTATAAACCACTGTTCTTTCCCATCACATTCAAATAAAAAACTCATCTTGCTGCTCTACCATTACTCTGGTGTTTTGAAAGAGAGAGTTCATCAAAGACCAAAGGATACCATATACTTCTTCATATTACATTTAACCAAAAACTCCACTCAGAAGAATTTGACTCTTAGTCATATTAATGTAAAAGTAACTGGGATTATAATCAGCGTCTTATATGCGTCCATATTTTTTAACATTTTTAGTTGAAAGGAACATAAATAATCTAGACTTTTATGAGGTCTTTTGGTTAAATATCCTTTTTGGTTTAAAATCCTGAATTCACTTTTTTTCTGAATCTTTCCTGTGCTTGAAGAAAAACTCATTCAAACCAGTATCTCTTCTCTATTGCACTGTTTTTAATTAACTTTATAGCTGAGGATCTATAGAGAATTGCTTTTTGCCCTGTGAGCTAATTCCTTTCTAATAACAGTTAGTTATAGATCCATCTATGAAACCAAGGAAGGTCCTATAAAGAAGAATTAATAAATGGGAAACAGATATTTGGCAAAGAACATTATTGCTCATTCCTTTCACCCATCACCGTTTCTTAGCATTCCGTGCGTAATGGATTACGTGGCTTCTCCCAGACATTTTTAAACTGTGTTGAGGAATGCCCTTCACTGGAAGACTTTAAATAAGATTAGTAAAACTTCTAGTAAACTTGATCTTGCTTCAGTATAGGAGGACAAACGAGGTGACCTCATGGGTTTCTTTGTTTATGGGTTTCTTTCCTGCTTTGTGTGTCTGTGATTCTCACAGCTTAGACTCTTTTTGTAAAAAGCTGTGTCGTACTGCATTTACCTTAGCCTAAACTGGTAATAAAATAGATCTGTTAATGATTTGCTCTATCTATTAGTTCTCATATTTGAGCTTAAAAACCTCTCTTTCTATTCAATCTTAAAGCAGTGAAACAAGAGAGACATATAATTCAGAGACTTTTTACTTCTAGAGATCTTGCTCATAAATGCTTTGCTCTGTAAAGATAAAGGTCAAGAGGGTTTTAAACCAAGATGTTCCTTGCCAACTGAGCAATTTAGGAAGCAATTATTTGTGGCTAATACTGTTTGGGATGGATGCCATCATTAGAACAATAAGACTTTTCCCTTGTTTTTCTTCCAGTAAACTTTCTGTTACAGAGCTATGTAGCCATACATAAGGACATTAGGGAAATGAAGGCAGAATTTGAAAAAGGAAGTCACTGAATTAAAGGCAAACTCATGATACAGATTTTAACTCAAAATGAAACTGGGCTCAAGAATAAAGGTTTCATTTATGAATGCTGAAGAATTATGAGGTTGGTGGAGGTCAGCAGAACTGTGGTGTTATGGTCTACATAAAACTATAAAAACAAAGCAAGCAATTACTTTAATCCATTGTTCAAAGCAAGCTATTATGTCTACTTAGTTTAAATTAATGAGTTGTGATGTAGTAGAAAACAAAGACATTTTCAGAAAACATATTTTCATTGCTAGCAAAGTGACCTCCAGCTGTATGTTGCTACTCTAATGTTTTTCCCAAAATTCAGCTTACTCAATAATTGATACATTTTCCAGAAAACTTTTTCTATGTCAGGTTCATAGCACCAAATGGAGAAGACAGACAAAAGCATTTTGTTTGAAAAGCCCTTTTCTATCTGAAGATAATTGGTGTGTAAAAGTACGAGAAGCTATATATTGTCACAAGAGTTAAAGTTCTAATGTAACTTCTTTCTTACAGCATAGTCATAGGAAGCACTTAACACTTTTTCTGAATTTCTGGCTATTTATGCAAAATGAAAGAAAAGTATTATTAATTCTCCTGTTAAGATCCTCTGATATTGGTGTTTGTTCCTTCTGAAAGGAAGATACTTTTGCTGAACAAAATACATTTTAGCCACACAGCTGCTATTGTATCTTGGAATGACCAGTGTCCAAGGACACGAAAAGAGGTAAAACATCTGTTCCAAAATAAATATGGAAAACTACTTTAGGGGACATTTATGTTTATTAACATCAGCTGTGTCACATATGTTAAACTTATACTAAGCTCTAGTGTGCTGAACAAAGCCAGAGCATGTAAAGTTCTGTTCTTTTGAAACAACAGAACAGAAATAGGATAGAAATTAAACAGTAAAAAAAGCGGCTGCAAAAAGAAAACCTTTTTGTGATCACATGCAAATACTGAAAAGATTACTTTTTTTTCAATTTTAGTCATCCTACATTCCCCACCTTGGAAATGTGTATTAACACAGAGGTACCAGAAGAGTCAAAAGTACCCTGTCAAGATCTTTATTGATTTATAAGAGCGGAATCTATCTCGTTATTTCCGAAAATAAAATTTGGGCTGTTGTTGCATATACACTGGTGTACCCTTGAGCAGAAGTATGTTGGATTGCCTTTTTTCCTTTTGTAACACTGTGTTACAGATTTTACCTACACACACTCCACTCTGCCTTACTTATGTTTTAATCCCATGAAGGAAAGCTTACGGCTTCCTTATTTGTAATAAAGGAAAGATCAATTTGTCTCAATTATTGAGAATAATTTTAGTCTAGCCATGAAAAATGTTTATTTTAATGATAAAAATTATTGTGTATTATATTTTAAGCCTAGATAAGACTTCAAAAATAAGCATAGAAATCTAAAAATGTTGGCTTGGTCTACTGTGTGTGAAGATCATGCTGGCAAAAGCTATAGAGGACCAAAATAGCAGTAGACTTTATTATGAGACTTTGGTTTTTGGTCCAGATAGGTGAAATGACAATGTCCTTAGCCAAGGGACATTTTCAGAGACCTCTTCCAGGCACAAACCCAGAAAAGCAGAGTCAATACATCACCTGCACCTTCTTTAATAATACTTTCTACCAGAGCTTAGGTTGGGAAAGAAACTCTTTATTCCCTGTTTTGTAGGTTCAACAGTATTTGAATGCCTGACAGGCCAAATTAAGGTGAGGCATTATAAACCATGCTCTGTCTGAAAGATTCATTAATAAAGACAAAGACCTGTGCTGGAAAGAACAGTTTTTCAGGCAATGAAATGGAGCACTGTAATTGTTTTGTTCTACTTCAATAATTCTGTATTTTGTGGCTGCTTTCAGCAAAGAGCAGATGAAAAATGAGTCATGGATTAAAGGTATACTATACTCAATAGGAATTTGATTGTTTCTTTTCTGGTTTATAATAAATTAAATTAATAATCATCAGCTTTAGACAGGAGCCCAGGAAAATCTGTAAATCAGCTGAAAAAGAAGTGTGAAAGAGTATCATCTCTTCAAAATACATTTTGTTGTTCCCTTTGAAAGCAAGATATTGAAATTAGTACAGATTTCAGTTTAGCCTCAAAGCTGTTTTTCATTATTGTGGCTTATTGCCCACTATTAACTGTTTCCAAAACCCATTTGAAGCTCATATGTTCTTTGGCTGCTTCTTCTACAGAGTGTGAAATTGCTGTTTATTGTGGCCCGTTAAGTTTTATATTTGGTTTGCTGTAGAAAAAATAGTAGCAGTATCTTCTGCTGCTTATTCTTTTGACAGTAGGAAAGAAGAGGACAGCAGTATGGGTTCCCTCTGTGTTTTGTAGCAGACTTAAAAGAAATGTGTTTGATGATGTGTCGCCAGAGAGCTTACCTGATATGTGAAGAGCTACTGTGTGCTTTTCTAAAGTGTGCTCCAGTAACTGATGGCTTATGTTGACTCTCTGTACCAAATATTTTCCTTGATCCCCATTCTGCAAAAATGAAAATATGGTGGTGGAATGAAGGGAAAGCCTTTTGTGACCCAAGTAATTTTCTCAGTCTGTACATTATGGATGGGATCCATTTTACCTGACTTCTGTTTTCAAAAAAGTAGGCCTTTACAGCTGAGCTGAGCATCTTTTGGATGCCTTTGTAATCTACTGGGAAAAATCAGTAGTTTTAAGGCACAGTTCAACTGATCTGTTTTGAATATCTGTTTTAGTTGTCTGCATGGCTTAGCTATAAAGATATACCGTCTGTGTTTCAGCTGTTAATATTTGATCAGGTGAAACCTGTCCTTGTGACTTGTGTAACCTTCATCCTAAACAACCCCAGTAAAATGGGTGACAACTCACACATGCAAAATTCCACGAGTCTTGTGATCACAGAAGGAAAAGAGTGTGATCCAAACTCCTTTAGCACCATATTGATCGCGTCCACTAGCACATGAAATACATGTAGTTGAAACCTGCTGTCATAACTGGGATGCCACTTTGTGACTACTGAGTATCTGAAGATGGATATGACATTCAGAAGTTGAAGATTTGTGCTGGATATTGTGTATACATATATCGCAGCAAAATGAAAGCATATGTTCCTAAATGATATGTTCTGGCCTGTGTCAGATCTGATTCTACCCACTAAAAATTCCTAAAACTCTTACCAACACAAGGTCAAGTCATTACAGAGGTAATGTGATTTTTGCAAAAAGGTTTGTTTTGGAAAAGCAAGTGAAAGAAGAGAAAAGAGGGGGAAAAAAGAAGGCTGATGATGAAGGAAATTGAACAGTGAAACCACTTTCCCCATAATAATTTTATTTGCAGTTCTATATTTGTGGCTTTTTTTTTACTTTTTCTTTATATGCCTTGAGACTTTACGCTTCACCCAGTGCTTTATCATCTGTTAGGAATGCAATTTATAATTTAAATAAACAATAGAGAAATAAACCCACCAGTGATAAGACTGAAGGCTCTGTCTTTGGTTTCTATGAAATAAAACCTCAAAATGTTCACCCCTCACCTTATGAAGTTATAAAGCTTCACTCCAGTCATGTACTGTTGTGACTGTTTCCTACCTTTAGGTGTGAAACACATTATAACTTGTTCAAAACCCCTTGAGATATAAAAGCTGATCTTTAAATATTATTATTTACTTTTATTATTTT